TGTGTGTGTGTGTGTGTGTGTGTGAGAGTATCTGTGTGTGTCAGTGTGAGAGTATGTCTCTGTATCTGTGTGTGTCTGTCGACGTGTGTGAGTGTGTGTGTGAATGTGTGTGTGAGAGTGTCTGTGTGTCAGTGTGAGAGTATGTCGATGTGTGTGAAAGTGAGACAACCAGTGAGTGTGTGCGTGTGTGTGTGTGAGAGATAGAGAGTGTGTGTGTGTGAGAGATAGTGTGTGTGTGTGTGTGAGAGATAGAGATTGTGTGTGTGTGTGTGAGAGAGAGATAGAGAGTGAGTGTGTGAGTGTGTGTGTGAGAGAGATAGAGAGTGTGTGTGTGTGAGAGATAGAGATTGTGTGTGTGTGTGTGTGTGAGAGAGATAGAGAGTGAGTGTGTGTGTGTGTGTGTGAGAGAGATAGAGAGTGTGTGTGTGTGAGATAGAGAGTGAGTGTGTGTGTGTGTGTGTGAGAGAGATAGAGAGTGAGTGTGTGTGTGTGTGTGAGAGATAGAGAGTGAGTGTGTGTGTGTGAGAGATAGAGAGTGAGTGTATGTGTGTGTGAGAGATAGAGAATGAGTGTGTGTGTGAGAGAGATAGAGAATGAGTGTGTGTGTGAGAGAGATAGAGAGTGAGTGTGTGTGAGAGATAGAGAGTGAGTGTGTGCGTGTGTGTGTGTATGAGAGATAGAGAGTGTGTGTGTGTGTGTGTGAGAGAGAGATAGAGAGTGAGTGTGTGTGTGTGTGTGCGCACGCGCGTGCATCATTGCTAACAGCTCTTGTCCTCTCTCTGTCGAACTTGCAGGCGTCTTCATCATCTGTTGGCTGCCATTTTTCATCACACACATACTGAACGTGCACTGCCAGAGGTGCTCCATCCCACCAGCGCTCTATAGTGCCTGCACCTGGCTGGGTTATGTCAACAGCGCTGTCAACCCCATCATCTACACCACCTTCAACGTGGAGTTCCGCAAAGCCTTCATGAAGATCCTGCATTGCTAACGCTGCAGCTGTGCCTGGTGACTGAGGGAGCCCGACTGTGACACAACTGTCGCTCGCTGATGCTGGAGACATTTAAGGAGCCCAGACCTTGGGCGATCGTGTCTCTGCTGTGTCTTCACAGCGCCATCAAAGGAAGCCTGAGTGACCACTTCCTGTCCAAGATGGCGGCCTGATTGACCACTTCCTGTCCAAGATAGCGGCCTGATTGACCACTTCCTGTCCAAGATGGCAGCCTGATTGACCACTTCCGGTCCACGATGGGACCAGGACCCATTGGCACCTTCCGAAAATGACAATAAAGGTTGAGTTTTCACACCTCAATGTTGTGTTATCTATGTACACAGTCTCTCTACACTGCAATACACTTCCTTTCATCACTGCCTACTCAGAGTCTAGCTCTTGTGCTCCCTATTAAAGTTCTCATTTCCTCGTATCAATGTTGGTACCTATTGTAATCATTGCTCATTGTGTCAATATGAAGCTTGACCTACAGATTACACAGGGATGGATGAAAAGGACTTAGCATCTTGTGTTCTAAAAAACTAAAGGGGGGGGTCTTTATTTTATTCATTCACAGGGCATGGGCATCGCTGGCATGGCATGGATTTATTGGCCATCCATAATTAGCCCTTGAGGTGGTGATGAGTCACCTTTGTAGCACGGTTGAGTGGCTCACTAGGTCATTGAAGAGGGCCTACAAGACTCATGGAGACATGCAGTATGGAAACAGACCTTTTGGTCCAACTCTCCACACATTCCAATCTGACCTAACCCCATTTGTCCTATATCCCTCTAACACCTTCCTGTTCATGTCCCCATCCAGATGCTTTTTAAATGTTGTAATTGTACCAGCTTCCACCACTTCCTCTGGCAGCTCATTCCATACACGCACCAACCTCTGTGTGAAAAAGTTACCCCTTAGGTATCTTTTAAATCTTTCCCCTCGCACTTCAAACCTACGTCCTCTAGTTTCAGACAACCCTTCCTCGGAAACACTATTCACCCTATCCATGCCCCTCATGATTTTATAAACCTCTATAAGGTCACCGCTCAGACTCTGACGCTCCATGGAAAATAGCCCCAGCGTATTCAGCCTCTCCCTGTAGCTCAAACCCTCCAACCCTGGCAACAGCCTCGTAAATCTTTACTGCAGCCTTTCAAGTTTCACTGAGAAAAAAATGGAATCTCAGAGTCTCTTCACTCAAGGAACGAGCTAGTCAGAATGGTGTGTAAAGGGAAAGAGTTGGCCTGCTGTTGGGTTGCCTGCTTCAGTGACATTGTTGTCTTCGTTTCGGACCTTTCGCCATTGCCTTGCTGCTGCCTAGCCCCTGCCCTGGCACTCCCATGCCCTCTGCCACTGCTTCCCCCCCACAATCCTAGGGCTCCTGCCTTAGGCCTGCTGTCTGGAGCCTCGTGGGCCAGTGTTGTTGCCAGAGGTGCCCTCTCCCAGGGACTGGCGCTGCTGCCTGAGGCTCTGGGGCCAACTCCTGTTCTGCTGTAGCCGAGTGCGGGCATCCCAACCCTGTTGAATTGGCTCCGTTGGTCATAGAGCCACAGAGACGTACATCATGGAAACAGGCCCTTCGCTCCATCTCGTCCGTGCTGACCGGATATCCCGGATTAATCCAGTCCCATTTGCCAGCATTAGCCTCTGAAAATAACCCCAACTTAGACTAGTCTCACCCGCCTGCTCCTGAACTGTGTCCCTCCAAACCCTTCCCGTTCATGTACTTCCATGTTCCCACCACTTCCTCAGGAAATTTTCATTCGGCACGCGAACCACCCTCTGTGTTAAAAACAAAAATTTGCCACTCGTGTCTTTTTTTAAGACCTCTCTTCTCTCACCTTAAAACGTGGCTCCTTAAGTCTCGAAAACTTCCCATTCAAGGGAAAGAAGACACCCACCATTAACCCTATCTAAAGCCCTCATGATTTTATCAACTTCAGACAGCTTCGCTTCCCTGCAGTGAACCAGATGGGTTTTTACAATGGATGGTCACAGCGACCAGGACTTTATAGCCCAGTCTTATTGATTGTACTGGATAACAATTGCAGTGGGGCGATGAACACATACCTGTGGAGTATTAGTGTAGGCCCAGACAAACAGATAGACTACTGGAGAAACTCAGCAGGTCGGGCAGCATCTGTAGAGAGAGAAAAACAGATTTAATGTTTTGAGGCTGGTATGGCCTCTCCTTAGGACATTTTTCGAGTGTCCCACAGTTCTTTGTGCTTGTTGATCAGATTCTTGTCCACTACTGCGGCCACATGCCCCAAGTTGACTGGGTGATGATAAAAATTTATGGGTTCCTTACGTTGGTAAGTAGAGGCGGAGTGTGTGTAGCAGAAAAGGATTGTTACGCCGCTGCTCTTTCAACCGGCACAATGGGCCAAACGTCCATCTCCTGTGCTCCGATGTTGGAAGAGTGGGATATAGGACCAGGAGTAGGCCATTTGGCCCATCGAGAATGTGCCACCGCTCCAAGAGAGCATGGACCTTGGTGAGTCCTCTTCTGGAGCACTGTGTGCGGTTCTGGTCACCCTGTTATAGGAAGGATATCATTAAGCTGGAGAGGCTTCAGAAAAGATTTACCAGGGAATAGACTGGAAAGGACTCTATTCCACTGGAGCGTAGGAGGTTGAGGGCGTGACCTTATTGAGGTTTATAAAATCATGAGGGACATAGATAGGGTGAATGACAAGGGTATTTTCCCTAGGGGTGGGGAGGAAATTCAAAACTAGGGGTCATATTTTTAAAGTGAGAGGAGAAAGATTTTAAAAAGACAGGAAGAGGTTGGGGAGGGGGGCGACTCCTTTTAGACAGAGGGTGGTTCATGTGTGGAACGAACTGCCAGTGGAAGTGGTGGATGTGGGCGCAGTTACGATGTTCAAAAGACATTTGGATAAGTACGTGAATAAGAAAGGTTTGGAGGGATATGGAACTGGTTTTGTTTGAGAACATGGTCGGTATGGACTGGTTGGACCGGAAGGTCTGTTTCCATGCTGTATGGCTTTATAACACTTTTAACCTCAATGCCATTTTCCAGCCTTCTCTCTACATTTCTTTGATATCTTCAATATCCAGAAATCTATCCCACTCGGTCTGAAATGCAGTCAATGTCCGAGTCTCTATGGATCTCCAGGATCTACAGATTTCCCATCCTCTGATTGAAGGAATTTCTACTCACATTTTTATAAATGGCCTACCTTTGGTTCTGAAACCATTTCTGTAGACTTCCATTCCCCTCCCCATCGAGTGAATCTTCTCTGAACTACCTCCAATGCAAATATATCCTTCCTCAAGTAAAAGGAGCACAATTGCATGTGGTCCTCCAAACGTGCTCTGGCTAATGCCTTGTACAGTTGTAACAACACTTCCCTACTTTATACCCCATTCCTGTAGCAATAAATGTGAAAATTCCATTAGCCCATCAGCTACCACTGTCTGTGGAGGTGACAATCTCAGTTAATAATTTGCATTAATTTAAATTGATGCATCGTGTTGGCTTCTGAGGCAGATCAGTCCCTCCAGGTGCCTATACCTTCCCCATTGTCGAATCCTAGGCTCAAACAGAATGGTGGAGATGTTACAGAATAAATATTGTGAGGGGGGGCCAATGAGTTAAAATAAATAAGAACTGAGCTATCCCTTTTCCAAATTGAGAGAGAGGACTCTTTCAGTTAAGTTGTTAAGCAGAAGAGTTTAATTAGCATTATTTAAAAACTATGGGAGCATTGGGCTGGGGATTGTTTAGTTGATGGTGCTTGTTAACTAGGTAAGTGGACAATGTGAGTTATCCTCACCTGGTTGAAACATAGGCTTTGTAGGGGAGTAGAAACACTGGAAGTGCTCAGCAGGTTAGGTCATATCTGTGAATAGATAAGTGAGTCAATGTTTTTTTTAGTTACAATTGGGAAAGTTTAGATGTTGAATTGGTTTGGAGTGAATGCGGAGAATAGGATATAGGATAAAGTTTGTGCTGGTGTGGAAGAGATTAAAGGACTGCAGTTTTTTTTGGTGTAGGGTCAGGGAGATTATGATTAGTTTTTGGGCTGAGTAAAGAGACAAGTTAGATGTCTAGAGGGATTGTGAATGGTGGTATAATGAATAAACTTGGAAGAAATGTCAAAGTTAGCAATGAGAAACAGGATGAGGTGGATCCTGGTCTGAAATTGTTGAATTGCTGCTGAGTTTGGGAGACTGCAGTGCAAATATTTGATTTTTGAGAAGATGTGCTGCTTTTCAAGATGATGTTAAGCTTCACTGGAATTGTGGAGGATGGGGTAGGTGAAGGTCGGTGTGAGAGTAAGGTGGAGATGTAAAATGGCAGCCAGTTACTGTCTTTTGCAAGAGCAGTATATAGTCAAATCAAACCCCTTCCCACCTTGCCCTTTGTCATAACAAATATTCAAAATGTGTAAAAGTTTTGTCTACATTTTAGTGAGAAACACTTGAAACCAGGATAACGCAGTGTGGAGCTGGAGGAACACAGCAGGCTAGGCAGCATCAGAGGAGCAGGAAAGTTGCCACAAGGCTCATTTTTCTTGCATTTTGCTAATAGTGATCTATCCACAGTACCATGTTCTTTCTTCAATTGTCCTCCCTCAGACATCAGAGACATTTGTTTCCTGTGAGCTGAGAGAAACTTTGTTCAAACTATTGCTGACTGTAAGGGGAAAAGCACATGCTTAACTTGCTGGAGTGTTGCTTTGAGGTAATGTTATCGGTGTGCTGTACGTGAGTTCCTGCACCAGGCAAGGTTACCAAAGAAGTTTTCCCCTTGCCTGAGGCTAAACGACCACCAGTTGTGTGAGATAACAGTGTGGAGCTGGAGGAACACAGTGGGCCGAGCAGGAAAGCTGATGTTTTGGGTCAGGACCCTTCTTCAGGGGGAAAAAGAAAAGCAGTTGTGTGTCTCTAGTCAATGGTGACACCAATTGGAGTATTATGTGGATGACCACAATGTAATTCTGTCCCTCTCACACACAGCAATTTGGATTTAAAAGTTGGATTAAGAATAATAAATTTTTTTGTTTTGGACTAGTGGAATGTTTGTGGTGGAGTTCCCTTAGGGTCAGTGATGTGACCATTTTTGTTTTCCCAGCTTTTTCTACGCATTAGTGATCTGGATGAGTGTACAGAGCACAATTCCAAAACTTGCAAACAATGTGAAACTTGCAAACATGTGAGGAGGATAGTGTAGAATTTCAAAAGGGCATTGGTGATGGATGGTGGCAAATGACTTGACTGCAAGCAAGTGGAAAAAAGGAACAGTGATATTGGATGCCTGCGATTTTAATTTCCAGCCCATTTTCTCTGAACCGAGACTGTAATTCTGCTTCAGTGGATGTGTATCCAATTAAATGTCCTAACTACCACATGAATGGATTAATCCAGCTCTGCCCAATTAACTTGATTTGAGATTTCATTGATTCATCTGACTATTAATTGCTTATTAATTTGAGTAAATGGCTTGGAGTTTGAGTTGTAATGTTAACACCAATTTATCAATGAGAAATTGAACTTCGCTGGAAATTAAATTTTCAGGTTCTTGTCTGCTTCTGAAAAAAAAAACTGCCAAACATTGTTCCCTAGTCTTAGACTTAAGTTTTTAAAATGAATGAATGGGCTTGATTATTGTACTCTGCTGCTGGGGTGGGGTAAGGTTTAAACAGGAGGGGCTCAACCTGACGGGGAATTCCAGAGAAGCCTCTTTCCCATGACTGAGGGCTGGGTGGGGAGGGTGGAATATGGGATTTGACTGCAGCCCCCTCCCAGGGAGTGTTGTGGTGAACTGTTTTGATGCATTTAAGGGGCAGCCTGGAAATACACGTGAGGGAGAAAGGGATTTATTCTTATTTGTGAAACTTTACTCTAGAAACAATTTCTGCCACGCTTTCAGCGAGCACTTCCAGAGTATAAAACTTGTGGGAAATAACTCTTGTGTGACCTTTGCCTCTTCTGGTCCTGAACTCCTTTGTCACTGCCAATATTTTGTGTCAGTATCTTCTAGTACAAATATGGTGGCTCGGTAGTTAGCACTGCTGCCTTGCAGCGCCAGGGACCTGGGTTCGATTCCACCCTCAGGTGACTGTCTGTGTGGAGTTTGCACGTTCTGCGTGGGTTTCCTCCAGTTTCCTCCCACAGCCCAAAGATGTGCAGGTTAGGTGGACTGGTCATGCTAAATTGCCTGAGATTAGGTGGGCTAAAGGGGGGTGCGTCTGCGTGGGATGCTCTGAGGTTCAGTGTGGACTTGTTGGGCCGAAGGGCCTGTTTCCACACTGTAGGGATTCTATTCTACTCCCCAATTTCAATCATCTCCGTCAAATGCTAACCAGCTCCATTCTGAGTTGGTCAATGCCCATATCTTCAAATTTTTTTATTGCCTCCGTGATTAGAGGAGACAGGTTTACGGTAAGTAATACAGGGCCCGGCTTTGGAGGGGACAGGTTTTAGAAGCAGTGATGAAGGATAATGTCAAGGAAACTGGCTGGGCGCTTGAGCAAGATGTAGACCCGCAGACATAGGTAGACTAGGGGGAGGGGGTGGCACTGACTGGATTATTCCACTGAGAGCTGGCATTGGCTTGATTAGGGTTGAATGGTCCCTGGTGCCACTAAATTGTAATCCTTGACCAATAAGGTTTTAGCATCTTGTGGCAGGGCATTTCCTAAATGAATACAAGTAGAGTCTTGTGTAATGATGTGACTAAAGCAAGTAGAATTTGAACTTGAGCCTGTAATGTTGGTAATTAGTAAGTATCAAGCAATGCTATTTGTCTTTCTGTTTGTCCAAACAATGTGGCCAGTAGGCATCTTGGATTGTAATGAATTCCCACTGACTGTGTGCTCCACAGAGATCTGTGATGGACTTGTGGTATTATCGCTGGACTGTTAATCCAGAAACCCAGATAATGTTCTGGGGACCAGGGTTCAAATCCAGCCACAGCAGATGAATTTGAATTAAATAAATATCTGGAGCTAAGTGTATAATGACGGCCGTGAATCAATTGTCAGAAAATCCCATTTGGTTTGTTAATTCACTTTTTGAGGAAGGAAACTGCCATCCTTACCTGGTCTGGCCGACATATGACTTCAGACCCACAGCGATGTGGTTGACTCTCAACCGCCCTCTGGGCAATGAGGGATGGGCAATAAATGCTGCCTAGCGGGCTGCGTGTTCATCTGCTTAAAAAATGTTTCATTTGCTGAGATTAGGAGTTGGGGTGTAACAAAGGAAGTTAACAAACTCCTTCTCGTTGAGTCTGTCCTGTGTATTTTTGGCGGAAATCCAGGAGATTAGTGTAAAATTTATCCACTTTGAACTTGAAGGTAGAGCTGGTCCTAAAATGTGGGAGGTTGTACTGTAGATCTTGGCAGACTTGGCGCAATACACATGCATTAGTAAAATTACCCGAGTGTAAACAGCAAGGAGAGTTGAATTCTGATTGTTGGCTCTGCCAAGAAGGAAGATAGCTACGCGTCTAGATTTCACGTGTAACTTGACCCATCAAGTTTCTTTAACAGTTTGTTTTTTTTTAATGAAGGTGATTACTAGCGAGGGGGATTTGTTGGCCATCAGTTAGTTTGGTTTAATGGGACTAGGGAGTAGCTGCTCACAAGACCCGCATCCCTAATTGCCCTTGAATTTGGCATGTGAGGGGCATTTTTAAGAATAAACATATTGCTGCGGGTCTGGAGTCACATGTAGATGAAACTGGGTGGGGAGAGGGTGGGGTACATATTCCCTTCCCTATGGGGGAACTAATGAACCAGTTGGGTATTTGTGACAATTGATGATGGTTTCTTCATTTTTTTTTTGGCCTCGAATGTTTCTTAATCAGATTAAGGGTCTACAAACTAGTCTAAGTGGGATTTGAACCCAGTGTTCCAGAGGCTTAACTAAAAAACTAAAGAACTGTGGATGCTGTAAATCAGGAACAGAAACGTTAACTCTGGTTTTTTTCCTTCACAGATGCTGCCAGACCTGCTGAGCTTTTCCAGCAACTTTTGTTTTTGTTCGAGGATTAACCTGGATTATCTGTCAAGTGATATTCCTGCTATGACTTCTTGTGATCTGTCACCATCTTTTTTTTTTCTACAGCGTACTATGGGTCTTTTGAAATGGGCTTTTTGAACTTGGTGTTTTGTGTTCTCTGTGCCACACTAGCTTTTTTTTTGTTTTAACTATCGCTCACTCTTTCTTTCAGATGATGAGCATGGATTTGGAAGTTGAGGGAATTCTAGAAAGACTCTTGGATGCCATGAATCGTGGTGGGATATCAGAAATGGCCGCTCTGGTGGAAGCGGAGAGGAGGAGGGTCGAGCGGGTAACAGTCCATGTGGCAGTCACTGGCACCTCGCGAGCAGGCAAGTCCGCCTTTATCAACTCTGCAATGGGCTTCCAAGATGGCGACGAGGGTGGCCCCTCCACCGCTCCTAGCCAGGGGGCGACCAAGCCTGCACCTTACCGTCGGCCGGGGTTCCCTTGCTGTACGTTCTGGGAGCTGCCCAGCGTCGAGGACGCCAGCTTCTCCCCGGGGGACTACTTGCGGGCGGTGGAGGTGGACCGGTACACAGGCTTCTACATCCTGTCATCGGGCCGCTTCACGCAGCAGGCGGCGGCCCTCGCCGACGAGCTGAGGAGACTTGGCAAGCCCTTCTATTTCGTCCGCACCAAGATCGACATGGACGCCCATGGCTACAAGGACCGGGAGTTTGCCAAGAAGGCCCTGCAGGTCATTGCCGCCAATCGCTTTGCCTGCTTGGATCTGGACTACGCTATCGCTCGCTTTTTCTGCGTCTCCTGCCACGAGAGCGAGCGGTTTGACTTCCCGGCCTGCATTCGGGCCCTGCAGAATTCCTCCCCTCCGCTTCAGAGGCACGCCCTGTTGCTGTCCCTGCACCACCTTGCCGACAAGATGGAGCTGAAGAACTCTCTGAAGGAGCTGATCCCGGTGTCGGCCGTCTACAGTTGCGTCATTGATCCCGTCGCGGTCGAGCAGCTGCCTTACCGAGCGAACATAGGCTTCCTGTGCGAAGAGATCCGTCTCTACCGCCTCCTGCTGGGCCTTGACTACCCGGCCTTGAGCAAGAGGGCCCGGCTGGTCGGCCAGCCCGCTTTCGTCCTCTCGGACGAGATCCAGACCCGCATGGCCAGGGAGCTGACGGAGAAGGCCGTGGCAGAGGAGCTGCTCAGGTGGACGGAGAAGAACGTCCTGGTATCCCCCAACAACGTGAAGTGGATCCCCCTCCTCGAGAGCCTGCCTGGAGGGAAGCTTTCGGGGGCCTCCACCATCAGGCTGCTGGACGCCATGCTGGAGCAGTTCATGGACGACGTCTACCGGATTCGGAGGAAAGTGGCGAACGTGCTGAGGGGTGATTGACCTCCTCGCTGAGGGTTCAACGATTGTCGATATGAATGGGAAGATCCCAACTGCAATATCAACGTCCATTTTGTACACCCTGAGGGGGGGGGGGGTGCGGCGGGCAAGTGGTTTTGTTTCCTAGTGTTGTTTTCTTTGCCCCCTCCCTAATCCATGCTGTCATAGTGAAGGGATTTCCCACTGGACCAATCCTCCCTGCTAATGCAAATGCTTTATTTCCTTGAAGATTAAAGCTTTAAAAACTCTTTCATCCCAACTCTTTCATCTGTTGCAGTGACTTAATGAGATTCCCCTTGTGCAGATTGACAACTCCCATTCAGTATCTAGGGCAACGAGACCAAAAGCAAAGGTGTGCTGTCTGTGTGTCTGTTGAGACATTTTATTTCACTGAAGTTGAGCTACATGCTGATAACTGTACCACTGTCCAACCACACCACTTCTTCTTTGTCCTTTTCATCACTGTTACTCCAATATATTGAATAAGCCTGAACTATCCACCCATCTGTTATTTTGTACAGCCCAACGTTTTTAATCCCTTTGAGTTTAGATGGATTTGTGGGGGGACCAACTTTCTCTAAACCCTCCTGACTTCTTTTTTCAGGTAGATACTGTGACTGCATTTTAACGTCAATAACAGTAGATGGAAACCCTATTGTGAACTGATCTGAGATGGCTGACTTCCTTTTTTTTTAACAAAGGTGAATAATATGAACACAAACCAATTCTAAATTATCTCAATTTAACAGACTTGTGCCTGCAGAATGAACCAAGAGGGTTCTGTTTTCTCAGGAGTGTCTGAATCCTGATTTTTTTTTTTATCCAAAGCACATTGACACTTTGTTGAGCCCAACATTTGGGGAGAAGGACAGATTAGTGTATGAAAGGAAATTCTTTTGGTAATGCTAGTCCCTAGAGGAGCAAACAGGCCACTGTGTGGGAAGAGGAAACATTAGTGGGTGATAGACAGACGTATGCAACAGGAAACTGAATTGAGAAAGGAAATCTCTAAAGGGGATAAAATAAAACAGGCCATGATTTCAGACTGATGAGAGCTCAAGATTTGAAAAAGGAAGTAAATGGTTGGTTTTTCGCAAACCAATTTATAGCGGAGAGTCTCATTTTGCTTTTCCTAAGTATCCTCATGAAAAGAATATAACTGCCAGAGTTTGCATGTAACTTGCTGTTTTATTACTATTTATTTGTATCTAAATCTTAATTGAATTATGAAATGTGTACATGAATTATCAACTGATTACTTGGTGGCTTCACTGATTTGGATGGTAGAGCAGAAACTCTTAAGAATACCTTCAACATTTTGCTAACTGAAGGAAGTGACTTGCACACACCACTTTCTGTGTGTGTCTGCAATTGGAGTGGACTTTTTCCTGTGTGAGATGGATTGTTTTAATAAAATGGAGTAACTGGTTCTGCATCATTGTTCTAGAGTTGGCTGCCTTGTTTCTTTTTCCGACCCAGCTGTAGTGGTTCCTGTTTCTGTGCTGTAAATAGTCCAAAGTACAGGTTGTTTCTCTAACCCTGGATAACTTCAGAAACACAACATGTTCAAAACAAACCCGCAAGCACTCAAGGTGGCCTTTCTGCTGAGATATTGATCCATAACTTGAATCGGGGCAAGCGGACATTCATGGCTTTTTTAATTAAGAATACAATTGACCCCCTGGCTTTTTTTTTTAAAAGCAGGTATTGTTCCAAACACTTGCATTATTCTTTTTTTGGGTTTAACCTACACATGCCTCTCAATCCTTCTACCAAATATAGTAATCTGTGTGCCCCCGTCCCTGAATGAGATGGCACTACCCTTCTCTCTCTGTGGGATGGGAATGATCTATTTAAGTATTGGCAGGTCTTTATGTGGCGTGCTTCTGCTGCTATCTATGAAGGGCCAGTGAGAGTCAGCTGCCCCTTGACATTGGGTTGCTGTTATTTGATTGTTGGCATCTGTTGCCCAGCTCCTATAGCCACTGGCTGTCCTGGTAGTGTATGCTACCAGTTGATAGAAGTGGGTCGTCACTTCTCTCCTTCAGCTAGAGGTTCCTTTGATGGTATCAGTATTGTAACCTGGGCTCGTGTGACTTCTGACTTTGTCCACCTTGGCTGCACCTCCTACATTAAACTAAACTAGTCCCACCTGCCTGTGCTGGGATCATATCCCTCCAAACACTTTGTGTACTTATTCAAGTGTCTTTTTTAAATGTTGTACCATCTATGTTTGGGGCTTCTTGTATCCTTGAGGTGGAGCTTTCGCTAGCCTGTTGGTCATCTACCATCTTACACAGTTGCCCAAAGACCTTCTGTAGTAGGAAGAGCCAATGCTCTGTCTCTTTTTGAGTGGACCGTGTAAGGTGAAAAGATTCTTTCCTATTTGGTCTGTCCATTTTGTGGGCTTCATCAAATTGTGCTTTAGCATCCTGTGGCCCAAGAAAACTAGAGTTCTTTTTTTTTAGTCTTAGTCACAGGACATGAGCATTTATTGCTCATCCCTTGAACTGCGTGACTTGCTAGGTCATGTCAGAGTCTGAGGGGTGGCCTTACAGAAGTTTATAAAATCATGAGGGGTATGGATAAGGTGAATAGCCAAGGTTTTTTTCCCTGGGGTGGGGGAGCCTGAAGCTAGAGGATGCGGGTTTAAGGTGAGAAGACGAAGATTTAAAACGGACCTGAGGAGGGATAACCTTTTTCATGCAAAGGGTGGCATGTGTATGGAACAAGGTGCCAGAGGAGATGAAGGCTGGTACAATTACAATATTTAAAGGGGATCTGGATGGGTACTTGACTAGGAAGGGTGTGGGACTAGATTAATTTAGGATATCTGGTTGGCATAGACAAGTTGGACCGAAGGGTCTGTTTCCATGCTGTACAGCCGAGACTCTATGGCAGTTGCTGTGGATCTGGTGTCACATATAGGCCAGACCAGGTGCGGATGACAGATGCCCTTATCTGAAGGGTATTGGTGATCCAGATGGGTTTTTCTGATAATCAACTGAAGGGTATCAGTAGATTCTTTTTTTAAAGTTATTAAGGAAAAAAAATCTGGAATGAGCTTAATTTCCAGCATCTACTGTGGCAGGATTGAACCTAGATCCCCAGAACATTAGTTGAGTTTCTGGATATGTGGTCTGGTAATAATACCACATGCATTGAGCACAGAGACCCTATAATAACTCCAAACCACTTCCATGGAGACAAGTTGCTTCTACTGCTTGCACTGTAGGCCTCCAAAGCAATTTAGGGGTGTACTCTTGAAGTCAAACTTTCTCACCAGCCTATGGTGAGTCACTCCGTTATGACACAGACAAACCGGAACGAGTTTATTCAGGAAGGTGGGAAATAGATCGGGTTGGAAACATTGTAGAAATGAATGGCAGAGAGAATGTACAGAACAGTGGGCTCGTCCACCTGTCCCTTTTGAAACACTACCTAACCCATAACGCAGAATCTGCAGCTGATGCATTAAACCTATCCAACATCTCTGAATCCATTAACCCTGGAGTGAAAGCAAATCTCTTAAAATGTTAATCAGAAACTTTTTTTTTCCCAAGGAAAGAGTTTTGTAATTCCCTCTTGGGGGTTTTCACTTGAATAATTCTGGATTTGTTAAAAGTTGAACTAGAATATTCTGTAGTTAATCCATCTCAGAAGCATTAAAATTTCAGCTGTAAAGAAGCCTTTGTTGTGGGCTTAAACAGTGAAAAGACAGTTGTCATAATCCTATAGCAAGGAAACAGATCCTTCGTTCCAACCAGTCCATGTTCACACCAATCCACACCAATCACGTTCCCAAACTAAGCTAAGTCAGAAACCACACGATACCAGGTTATAGTCCAACAGGTTTGTTTGAAATCACAAGCTTTCGGAGCATAGCTCTTTTGTCATTTTACCTGACCAAGGAGTAATGCTCTGAAAGCTTGTGATTTCAAATAAATCTGGTGTTGTGTGACTTCTGACTTTGTCCACCTCCACATCACACTAAACTAGTCCCACTTGCCTGTGCTTGGACCATATACCTACAAACTCTTCTTGTTTGTGTACTTATTCAAATATCTGTTAAATGTTGTAACTGTACCCACATCCACCACTTCCTTTGGAAGTACATTACACGCACACACGCCCACACACAAACACGTGTGTTTAAAAAAAATGCCCCACAGGTCATCTTAAAATCTTTCTCCTCTCGCATTGAACATATGTCCCCCTAGTCTTGAAATCTCCAGGGAAAAGACACCTGCCATTCACCTTATCAATGCCCCTCATGATCTTATAAACCTCTATAAGGTCACCTCTCAACACTCCAGTGAAAAAAAAATACCAGCCTCTCTTTGCAACTCAAACCCTCCATTCCCAGCAACATTCTGATAAATCTTTTCTGCACCCTCGTCAATTAAATAAAATCCTTTGTAAAACAGGGTGGCCACAACTGGACACAGTACTCCAGAAGAGGCCTCACCAATGTCTTGCACAACCTCAATGTGATGTCCCAACTCCCATACTCAAAGGTCTGAGCGATGAAGGCAAGCGCGCTAAACACTTTCTTAACTGTCCTGGAAGTAGTTGAGTTTTTGTTTTGGAATGTAAGCAGGGAAAATCAGGATACACTGCCTTACTCGGATGAAAGGGAGCGCGTGCAACTTGTTACCAGAGGCAGTGATTGAGGTGAATAGAATTGATGTCCAACTTCCCCTTAAATGTACAAGAAAGGAAGGAATTGAAGGATATGATGATGGGACGAGATGACACAGAGATGGAAGGAGGTTTGTGTAGACCGTTAATGACGGGTGGATTGGCCTATTTTTGTGCAGGAGTCTACCCAAGAAATAATACCCTTTTAAATTTATCCAGTAAATTTGCCCTTACGTTTTGCAAATAAGTAACCGTTTAACATCTTAGTTTGGATGTTAGAAACTTTTGATGAGTTTAAAAAGCCAATAAAAATGAGGATAGAATGTGTTTGTGCATGATAAGAAGCTCAACAGTAATTGCGCCAACACAGCCATTGGCCATAGATTCGCTGAGATGGAAGGAGGCCATTCAGCCCATCGAGTCCATCACTGGCTATCTGCAGAGAAATCCAGACAGTCCCCATTCACCTTGCTCGATCCCCGTGGCTCTGCTACTTTCAGTGTCCATCCAATTTCTTCTTAGTCTCTACTTCCTCCATCTTCTGAGGTAATGAGTTCCAGCTCATTATCATTCTCGCTGTTTTAATACAAAAATGTCCCTCCTCACATCCTCTCTATTAAAATTCTTGCCCTTTAAAACCTAAAATCTGAGTCCCCCAGTCTCTGTTAATGGGATTAACCTTTCCCATGCCTACTTTTCAGTCATCTTTGGTTTATTGAAAGGACATATACTCCTAGCCATTCCTCTTAAAATCTTTTGAGAAGATATGCTCCTTTTTGGTCATCTTAATGACTTCTAGGAAGATGTTTTCTTTATCAGGCATATTAATGCCTTTGGGGATGATGCGTCCTTTCTTTATTGGTCGTGTTAATGCTTCTTGAGGTCCAAGCGAGGGGGCTAGTCCTGGCGGGAAGGGCCGAACAACCGTCAGGACCACGCGGCGTCGATTTGAAATTTGATCGTTGCCCGGGGGCCGCTCGAGCCCGGCCACGCCACGCCACGCGCCGGTCCGCGCGGGACGCGGGGCCACCTGATTGGACCGCCGTCCGCCGCCACGTGGTCAACGCCGTGGAAACGCGCGTTGTGATTGGGTCAGTGGGCGTGGCCTGGATCGACCCGCCCTTTACCTCCCCGGCACGAGGCTCTATAAAAGGGAGCGGTGCGGGAGACAGCGTGTCAATCGAAGAGAAGCTGTTTGAGTGTTGGGAGGTGATACTGAGTAGAACATGATAGAATAGTCATCAAATACCAAAAAGAGGCGCATTGTATTAAATATAAAACCCTTTTTTTCTCATCAGTAGATTTTTTAAAATTGAAAAGTGCTCCTAAAACAAAAGGCAGCCAACTTCCCATTGGCATGCCAGTCTGTGTAGGGTCAAAGGTCAATCTCCCAAACAGCCATTTGCTCAGGGAGGGTGCTAACTCAGGTTTCTCTGACCACCAGTCAGCATTAGTGAACCTCAACAGAGTAATACTGTCTGTGGGAAGACGGAGAGTTTACCCAAAGAGTAAGAGGGAAAATTCCGGTAAAGTTGTGATATGAAGTCAGCAAAGTGTCAGATTTGAGGGGAGCAATCAACAAGGTGAAATAAGACGGCTAACGATCTTGGAGTGCAACAGGTTCAGGTAAGATGGAAGGATAAGAGTTAGGCACACAATCATATTGTATATCGTGCCTATGGGATAAAAGCAAACTGTCCTAATATCAGTTGGATTTCTATTGTGATGGACATTAACATATTAATGGTGGAGGACTGCATATAGTGTGGGATAGTGGTAGTGTACAGGGCATCGAGTGGCAAGCATTCTTGGATTATATTCAGGATAATTCCCGACAGCCCTTTGTGTTTGTTCCAATAAGAAAGGAAGCACTGTTTTTTGGGAATAAGGTGGGGCTAGTGGACCAATGTCAAAGTTCTTGCGAAGGCCTGGTTTTCAACCCCGTAATGCAATCAACAAACGTGGAATTAGACTAAACCCATGCAGCACAGAACTGGAAATGACACATTCCCATCTTGACAGACTGGACCATAGTGGAGTAGAACAACATCACTTCATCGGAGGCCGCACTGATGATGTTACCTAGCATGGTGACGAAACATCTGTATGATAACCAGCCAGATCGATGAGCAAGCGAACAACCTTGGAGCCAAGTCAGTGGGCAGCATTTAAAGAACTGTGACCATTTGATTGGTAAAGTTTAGGATGACGACGAAAAGTGACAACCTAGAACAAGAATAGCCAACTGGCAGAGACCGGTCTTCACTGGGGCAAGAGGGAAGCAGGGCCAGATAGACTGGAACTGAAGGTTGGCAGGAAAAAAAACAGTGACTGAGCAATGGACTACCTTCAAAGAGGAGGTGGCTTAAGCGCAGTCAGGCTGTATTCCCTCAAAAGAGAAAGTTCCTGGATGGCAAAGGAGATAAATAAATTAGAGAAGAAAAAGTGTGCTTTTGACAGGTGTAGGATTGCGAACCATGCTGAGTACAGAAGGTTTGGAAGAGAGGTGAAGAAGCAACTATGAGAAGCAAAGAGGGATTGTGTTAAAAAAAAAAGTCAGGTGGCTAATAGGAATGGAAATCCCAAAGTCTTCAATAAGCACATTAACATTAAAAGGGTGGAGTAGGGCCAATTAGGGATCAAAAAGGGAATTTACACATCCATGCAAGTCCAGACCCGAAACGTCAGCTTTCCTGCTCCTCTGATGCTGCCTGGCGTGCTGTGTTCATTCAGGTCTACACTTTGTTATCTCATGCAAGGGGCATGACTGATATGTAAATGAATAATCTTTACCTGCCGGGCAGATGCTGCTGAAGCCATGGTGACAGTGGCGAAACCTCTATTGTTCAAAGGGATTTGACTTGATAAGGAGGAGACATTGGATACGCTTTTAGTACTTAAAGTTGGTAATGCACTGGGACTGGATGAGATGCATCTAAGCATACTGAAGCAATTGAGAGTGGAAATTGCAGAAACAATGGTGATAATCTTGCAATCTTCACTGGACTCTGGGTTCGTCATAGAGGGTTTTGGGCGGCATGCTGGCTCAATGATTAGAACTGCTGCTTCATGGCAGTAGGGGCTGGAGTTCAATTCAAGTCTCGGGTGACTGTGTGGAGTTTGCACGTTCTCTCTGTGTCTGCGTGGGTTTCCTTTGGGTGCTGCAGTTTCCTCCCACAGTCCAACGATGCAGTTTAGGTGGATTGGCTGTAGGAAAATGCCCATAGTTTCAAGGGATGTGCAGGCTAGATGGGTTAGCCATGGGGAATGTTGGGGTTACAGGGATAGAGTGGGGGGTGTGTTGGGTCTGGTTGGGATGCTCTTCAGAGTGTCAGTGTGAACCCGATGGGCCAAATGGCCTGTTGCTACACTGTAGGGATTCTGTGATTGGAGAATTCCAAGCATTATGCGCTTGTTTAAATAAGATGAAGGATAAGCTCAGCAATCGCACATGAGTCAACTTAGGTGTTGTAGAACTTTCTAGAAACAATTACTCAACATAGAATGAATAGTCATATGAGGAAACATGGTTTAATTTAGAAGACCCAGCATGCATTTGTTAAGGAAAAATCCCATCTGTCTAATATGCTGGAGTTTTTTGAAGAGATAACAGACAGCACTGATGAGGTAATGCTGTTGATCTGGTGTATATGGACTTCCAACAGGCATTAGAAACAGTGCCACACAACAGTTTTGTGAGCAAAAATATAGCTCATCCAATAAAAAGGATAGTAGCAACTTTCAATACAAAATTATCTGATTGAAGAGGAAAGAGAGTAATGGTTAATGGGTACTGAAGGAATGTTTATAACACAGTTCCCCGGGGGTCAGTTAGCTCAGTTGGATGGACAACTGGTTTATGATACTGAATGATGCCAACAGTGTGTATTCAATTCACACACTGGCTGAGGTTACCACAACGGGCTCTCCATCTCAGTCTGTCCCCTCACCTGAGCTGTGCTGACCCTCAGATTAAACCACCACCAGTCATTTTTCTCTGATGAGAGAGCAGGCTTATATGGTCTCTGGTGAGGACTATGGTGACTTGGCCTCAACTCCCCATCCCGGGTAAGTACCTTTCTGATATATGAATAATCTAGATCTCGGTGTGCAAGGAACATTTTCAAAGCTTGTAGATGAGACAAAACTTGGGTGCATTGTAAACTGTGAGACAAACAGTGTAGAACTTGAAGGATATAGACAAATTGTTGGAGTGGGTTGAGAGGTACTAAATGATGTTCAATGTAAGAAAGTATAAGAGGAAAGGTACTACTCTTAAAAGCTGTGCAGAAGCTGAAAGGCCAAGGTGTGTCTGTTCATAATTCACCAAAAAATGACAAGTCAGGTGGACAGAGCTGATAGTAAAGTGTACAGTATTTTAGGATTCATTAATAAGAGCATAGAGTACAAAAGCAGGAAGGTGATGCTGAGCTTATACAGGACATTAGTTAGACCTGAGCTGTAGTATTGTGTACATTCTGGGCATCACTCTTTAGGAAAAGATGTGAATATATTGGAAAATAGTTCCAGGGATGGAAAATCTGTTATGAAGATAGATTGAAACAATTGGGGCTGTTTTCCTTGGAGCGGAGAAGGCTTAAAAGGAGCTCTGATAGGTGTTTTCTAAATCATGCAGTGTCTTGATGGAGTGGGAGAAACTGTTCCCATTCCTAAGAAGATCAAGAACCTGAAGGCGCAGATTTAAACTGCTTTGCAAAAGAAGTAAATGGGAGATGCGAAAAATCTTTTTCATACTGTGAATATTTCAGATCTAGAATGCACAGTCTGAAATGTGGTGAAGGCAAGTTCAGTTGAGGCACTCAGGACAGCACTGAGTGATTATTTAAGTAGAAACAAAATGCAGGAGAATAGCTCTTAGTCAAAACATTCAGAGAGCTGGAGCAGACCAGATGGGCCGAATAGTTTCCTTCTGCATGTAAACAATCCGTGATCTTGGGAAGGGGACAACAAGGTGCGGAGCTGGATGAACACAGCAGGCCAAGCAGCATCATAGGAGCAGAAAGGCTGACGTTTTGGGCCTAGACCATTCATCAGAAATGGGGGCGGGGAATGGGGTTCTGAAATAAATAGGGAGAGAGGGGGAGGCGGATAGAAGATGGATAGAGGAGAGGATAGGTGGCGAGGAAACAGACAGGTCGAAGAGGTGGGGATGGAGCCAGTAAAGGTGAGTGTAGGTGGGGAGTTAGGGATGGGATAGGTCAGTCCAGGGAGGACGGACAGGTCAAGGGGGCGGGATGAGGTTAGTAGGTAGGAGATGGGGGTGCGGCTTGAGGTGGGAGGAGGGGATAGGTGGGAGGAAGAACAGGTTAGGGAGGCGGGGACGAGCTGGACTGGTTTTGGGATGCGGTAGGGGGAGGGGAGATTTTGAAGCTTGTGAAATCCACATTGATACCATTGGGCTGCAGGGTTCCCAAGCGGAATATGAGTTGCTGTTCCTGCAACCTTTGGGTGGCATCGTTGTGGCACTGCAGAAGGCCCAGGATGGTGATCTTGGGAACATCAGTTATCATGTGCCACTGAGACTCTGAGAAGAGAGGGATGGACGAACTGTACAAAAAGCTGTAATTGGAATTCTGTTTGTTACTCTTTCAATGAGAGTTTATAGATGCTGATGGATAGAAATGGATGGCTAACAGGAAAAGGAACAGGCATCAATGGGTCATTGTCAGATTGGCAAGATGAAATGAGTCACATGCCACAGGGATCAGCACAGAGCCCTCAACTGTTTACAATTTATGTAAATGATTTAGACAAAGGGACCAAAGGTTTTGTTGCAAAATCTACAGATGAATAAAGATAGGGAAATGAGATGTGATGAAGCCACAAGCAAGCTACAAAATGACATTGATTAAGTGAATGGGCAAGGATCTGGTAAATGGAGTATAACATGGGAAAATGAGAAATTGTCCATTTTTTAAGGAAGAATCTAAAAGAAGCGGGCAGTTCTGACGTTCAGAGGGAAATGGATGGCCAAGTGTATGAATCACAAAAAGTTGGTATGTAGGTACAACAGGTAATAAAGAAAGCTAATAGGATGCTATCCTTATTGCAAGGAGAACTGAATGCAGAAGTAAGGAAGTTGTGCTTCACTCACTCATGGTATTAGTGAGAACACATCTGAAGTACGTTGTTTTAGTTTGTTCCTAGAATGTACACATCTTTAGCTAGGTCAGCATTTAATGGCCATCCCTAATTGCCCTGGTAAGATGGTGAGCTGCTTTCTTAAATCACTGAAATCCTTGGAGTGCAGGGGCTTCTAAATTGCTTTTACGTAGGGAATGCCAGGGTTTTTATCCAGTTGTAATGAATGGATGGCATTATAGTTCTAAATCAGGATGGCGTGTGGCCTAGAAGGTAACTTGTTGTACACCCATGCATCAGTTTTATCCTTCAAGATGATTTGGAAGGTGCTGCAGTGCGTCTTATAGATAGTACACATAGCTGCTAATGTGCACCAATGCTAGAGAGAGTGAGTGTTGAAGATGGTGCATGGGATGCAATCAATTGGGCTGCTTTGTTCTGGATCATGTTGAGCATTTTGAGTATTGTTGGAGCTGCATTCATTTGGCAAGTGGGGAGTATTCCATCACGCTCCTGCCTTGTGCCTTGTTGATGGACGGGCTGTGAGCAGGTAGGAGGTGCATTACTTGCTGCAGAATCCCAGCCTCTGACCTGCTGCTTTAGCCACATTATTTATATGGCTAGGCCACTTCAGTTTCTGATCAATGGGACATCCAGAAAGTTGATAGTAGAAGATTCAGCAATGGTAATGCAATTAAACATTAGGAACTTTGGTTACATTCTGTCCTGTTGGAGATTGTCATTGCTAGAGACTTGTGTGGCACAAATGTTATTTGCCATTTATCAGTCAAAGTATGGATATTGTCCAGGTTTTACAGAATATGAATGTGATCACTTCAGTATCGAGGGTATTGTGAACGATGCCAAATATTGTGCAATCATCAGTGAATAAACCCCACTTTTGACATTTTGATGGAGGGAAGATCATTGATGAGGCAGCTGAAGATGATTGACTTCTAACAACCACAATCACCAACCTTCGTGCTAGCCGGTGCCAGAGGCACACTGATGATGTTATTTAGCACGGTGATGAAACGTTTGCAACCAAACCCACCGGCTCATTGAGCGTGTCTACAACCTCATCCACAACCCCAGCTACAAATCTTCTTGAAAACTATAAAGGGCTGTTAACTCTATGTTTGTCTGGTGCCAAGGTTGATGCCGGGTGGTCCACCCAGATTTTTTCCTTTCTTTAAATTTTAAAATGGCTTGATACAATTGAGTAGCTTGCTAGGCCTTTTCAGAGTCCATTTACTGTTAGTTTGGAGTCCCATGTAGGCCAGACTAGTTAAGAATTCCCTAAAGAACGTTAGTGAACCAGTTGGATTTTCAGAACAATCAGCAATGGTTACATAATGATCATTATGCTGGCTTTTTAATTCCAGCTTTTATTGAATTCAAATTTCACTGCCTATCATGTTGTGATTTGAACCAATGTCCCCAGACATTAATCTGGGATTCTAGATGACTGGTCCACTTGCATTACCATATGTCACCACCTCCCCTTGATGTAAGCGGTACTACATACAGAATTGGTTTCCCTTTTTAAGGAAGGATCTAAATGCATTGAATGCAGTTCAGATAAAGTTTACTAGACTGATACCTGGATAGAGTGAGCTGTTTTATGAGAGAATGTTGGACATATTGGGCCTGTATCCACTACAGTTTAGAAGCATAAGAAGCGATTTGATTAAAACACATACGATTCTGAGGGAACTTGTCAAGATGGATATAGAAATGATGTTCCATCTTATAGGTAAATCTATACCTTTGGGGTCACTATTTCTAAAAAAAAAGGTATTTCCTTTTTCAGACCAAGAGAAGGCAATTCTATGTCATTCCAATGATTATAGGCCTAATCTTCTCAGCCTTTCCTTATAGCACGAACACCTTAATCCCAGGAATAAAGCAAGTGAAACTTCTTTAAACTGCCTCCAATGGAAGTATATCCTTCCTAAAACAGTGTTGATTTTCCTTGTTTGAGCATGTTTATAAGTCGAACAAAAGGGTTTGCTCCATCAGACAAGATTTGATTGGGAAGTAAATTAAAACTCATGAATTGACAGTGAATTAAGTCATCTTACCTTTCATACTTTTTGCTGTGCATTGTCTATAAATTAGGGCACCTGATCTTTTGCCCATTGAATGCTCAGTACTGATAAAACTCAGAAAAAGGACGATGAGGCAACGAGGTGCCATGAGGGTTTTACTATCAATCTTCATTTTCTGCAATATCATTTTCAGAGGTAAGAATTCCTGATCATTCATCAATTGGGAAAGTTTGTTTTTTAGATTATTATTGCTTGGCATCACTAGATTATTAGCTGGAGCAAAATGTCAGTTCTTTCAATTCACATGGGATTCATCAACTGTGGTTCAGTTGGTACCACTTTTACCTCTGAGGCAAAATAGACATGGCTCAAGTCTCACCTAACATTTGGAAATAGGGCAAGTTGACTTTTTTGTACAGGAATATGGTTGATTGTTGTATGGATTGTCTCAGTTGCTGAGTGGGAGTTGTCCCAAATGTCAAAATGTGAGTAGAGTTTTCAGAGCAGGTTGCTGGATCATGAAGTGATTGTCACTGGTGTAACAGAGCATAAGATTTATAAGAGATGTATGAGAATTACAAACCCTTAGTTATTGGTTAAAACTCTAGGATGACAATTCAAAATGTGGCAGGTACATGAAAAGGGCACTCAGTAATGTGCACACCTTTGCCACACTGTGGACATTGTTATCATTGCATTGATCTTCTTCAAGGTTTTAGCCTGTCTGGGTGATGCTCTGCAACTACAAAGCTGAATAAAATAAATATTTTCATTAAGTGCTTCCATCACAACGAAGAACCTTCGGCGCAAATTGTCACCAACAACCTGCTCTGAAAAATCTCCAAACAACATTCAAAAACAAATAGTTGAAATCAAACAATGCACTGCATGTAAAAAAAAAGTCAACACATTCTCTTTCCCACTGTTAACGAATCATTTTTAAAACATATCTTTGTCAAACTAATCAGTTCTTCCTTGGACCTTACTCTTTCTGTATAGCAAGCTTTTGAAATATATTGGTTAATGACAAAGAAGGATGAAAACGTTATCTCTTTTCACCATCAGTTGTGGAGATAATTCAGGCTATTCGAATGTTGGGTTTATCCCAAGGGACTGAAATATAAAGGATCAAATCCCATCTGAAGGAACTATAACCAGTCCTGGACCACCCATTTTGGGAAGCAAGCAGTCATAGGAGGGGTTGCAAGGCAGATTCAAGAGAATGATACCCTGAGGTAAAACTGTGTTCAGAGACTGAGTTTGTATTCCTTTGAGTCTGGAAGAGCAAAAGTCATCTAATCTAATCATCATTCTGTGATGATTAAATAATTCAATAAGCTTGACAGAGAGAAACTATTTTCTCTGGTGAAGGCAGTTGGGATTTGGTGGTGGAGTCCAGATTAAGTCAACAGAACCTTAGAAAAAGGCCTGATAGTTCAAAATGTTAGGAACCAGCTTGTCACACAGAGGAGTAGAAATCTGGAGGCATACTCCTTGAGAATCTGGGGTTCACTGTCATCCCTCAACCAACATTACTAAAAAAGATGTTCTGATTCTTATTAAGTGCGTTTGTGAAAACTTGGTGCATACAAATGGCTGCAGTGTTTCCTACATTAAACTGTGCCTCAAAGAGTACATAATTGATACGGGGGAGCTTTCAAACAAGGTGCGTAGAATTCTTTAATCAATTCTGATCACATTGATGACAGCCAAGTATTTATTAGGTTCTGCTAGAGTAAAATCCTCCAGGCTGACAGGAAAAATGATCAAATCTTAAACTGAGGATTTTGGATCATAAAATATTAGGTCAGTTGGGATCATTGAAAAAATGTAATGATCTGTTTCCAACTCACTGGTTTCTTGAAGAATTTCTGATTGGTTTGTTCTGATCTATTTCATCCTGTTTGCTCTCCTTTGTTCTAGCATTTGCAATCCAATGCAAGAAGTGTGTGCCTCGGATTAGCCCCACATGTAAAAACTCCTACTGCTTCAATTCTAATAAGTGCTTATCTGAATTATCATCTGTAAATAACAGTAAGTAAACATATTTTATTATAGAATGATGTATTGAGGAGAACTTTCAGCCCTCAAACAGGCCAGTCAGTACATCTACTCCACGCTGGGTTTTATACTCCCCCTGAACTCCTCTACCCCGGTAGATGCCTGTGTTGTCATTGTAATGGAACAGCTTGGTTGGTATTCCAGATATGGCCTTTTAAATCTCCCTTTTGGGCTTGAAAGTTCTGGACCAGATATCAATGACACACACTATAGCTTGGATACAGTCCTCTCAATGTGGTATACCTTTATCACAATATAAGCAATAGTACATCATACTTGCTTAGAAGTCTCACAGACTAAGGTCTGTCTCATTAACCCATCTCCTGATGCGATTTTGGTGCAACTGACCAAACTGGTTTACTCCTTTTTCTAAGCTTTTCTTTAGCCAATTTATTTGTCTGATCTTGGTCTCTCTCTCTCTCTCTCTCTCTTTGGAATTCAAGCTTTTTATATTCCCTTTCCCTTCGTTTTTCATTCTCTTCACTTTCCAATTCAAACTTTCTTAGTTCCATTTCTCTTTTCCTTTCTTTCTCCTGTCTTACCAAAGCTCTTTTCTTCTCTTATGTTTCTAACTCAAGTTTTATTTTTTTCATGTCTCACTTCTAGCTGAATTCTTGCCAATTCTAGTGGTGCCATTTCAATTTCAGATTTCCCTCCTTTTAACTCTTAATACTGGCCAATCATTGAAGCACCCCAATCCCTGCACGCTCTTGCTCTTGTTTCTACCTTCACCATATCCACAAATATCTCGGTGTATCCTTAGTCAAAGATTTCAAGTAGGCACTATTATACTTTCCAGGAATGCAGCACCTGAAGTGATGTGCAGCTGGGCTTTAAATATAGTGCCGTTAACGTGAATGTCAGCAAGCTCCAACAATGGTAGGCACTTCTGTTTCTGGCTGCATGGTTCCATACGGTTGGTGTCACTCTGCATCTCAAACCAGCCACCCAGTCAACTGAGCTAAACAAGTACCCTTATGAAGAATATGTAGAGTCATGTCGAGATGATGTAATGTAGTAATGTCACTGATTAGTAATTCAGAACTCCAAGTTAATGTTCTGGAAACATTGTTTGAACCCAACTGTTACAGATGGTGAAATTTGAATTAAATTAACAGAAATGGAATTTAAAAAGGTGGCCTGATGGTGACTGCTTGGTGATACTTGTAAAAACCCATCTGCTTCACTGATATCCTTTAGGGAAGGAAATCTACCATTCTTACCGGTTTGACCTACATGTGACTCTCAACACACATCATTTTGATTTACTCTTAACTGCCCTCTGAAGTGGCCTAGTGAGCCCCTCTGTACCAAAGCAATTTGGGATGGGCAATAAATGCTGGCCCAGCCAGCAATGCTCACAATATACCCTTGAACTAATAAAAATTGCTCACTGGAGAGCTAGGGCAAATACAACAGCTCAAACAGCCTTCTGCTGCACTAATAATTCTGTGACGATAATTTTTGTCAAGACATTAATGACAGAACATCATTTTTTTCAGGGTCATTCATTATCAGGACTTGTGCCAACAGAGCGCACTGTGGTGCGTCCATAAACACGGGTATTGTTAAGCACAGTATCATATGTTGCAAAAATGACCTATGCAACAACCATACCATGCCAGGTAATACCATACACTTACATTGCAATTAGATGGCTGTGTTCAGCAGGGGAGGACTGTAGCATTTGTCAGCCATAGTTCAGGGTAGTACTTATTCCTTTTTGAGTCTGGGAATTGTGGGTTCAAGCCCTAATCCCTAGACTTGAGCACCCATACTGGTTTTATGTTGTGGTACAACAGAGCTGCTGCATTTTGCTTAGGTCTTTCATAGCAAGGTTGGGTCTGCTGTCTTGGTGGGTATAAAGGACTCCACTGCCGCTATTTTGAGGAAAATTTTGAAGGGTTAGTGTCATCCTGAGGTAAAAATCTGAGACCTAAGAGCAGGAGAACATCATTAGGCCATCAAGCCTCTTTTGCCATTCAATAAGATAATGGCTACTCTGATTGTGACCTCAGATACAGCTCTTACCTGTTGCCCCATAATGTGTGACTCACTTCTTGATCCAAAACCTATCCAGATCAGCCTTAAAATGTTTAATGACACAGTCTTCACTGCAGTATGGAGCAGGGAATTCCAAAGACTGAAGTGGGAGATTCCCTTTCTTTAAACTGTGCCTCCTAGTTCTGGACGCTCACTTGAGGTTTCCCGTTCTTATATTTCAATAAGATCACCTCTCATTGTGCTGGGTGCCAATGAGTATAGGCTCAATCTGCTTGACCTTTCCTTACAAACCAACTCGTTCATCTCAGAAATCAACCAAGTAAACCTTCTGCATGCTGCCTCCAATTCAAGTGTGTCCCTCCTTTGTAAAGTAACATAAATGAAACAGACTACCACAATGATGTTGGGAGCTTGCTGTTTGCACTTGGATTGTAACAATCCAGTTAATGCATTTTAAAAATGCTAAAGGAGAACAATTCCTTAACGTACCACAGCTGGTCTCATTAGAAGAAATTTGGTCACATCATTTGAAATTTTCAGTGCACACTTCCAAGTCCTCCAGCCAACTGTAGTCTTATTTGGAGGTGGACTGGGGTCAGATTTCCAGATTAACCATCCACATTCCATATAATTATCCACCATGATCTAATATAGTGTCCACTGGCAACATGGCTTATATGGATCTCTGCTTCTTTGGAAGATGATACAAAATGGTCATGGAGCATCTTTGTATTGCATGTGATTGGTGGGTAGTTCCCTCTACTCTGTGACAGGAGGTTAGAGGTTCGGCCGGCACTCTGGAATCTTGAGCAGAAAACTCCAGGGTGACACTCCAGGACAGTACTGTAGGACAGGGAATGGTGCAGTATTGAAGGGTCAGTAATAAAGGAGCACTGCACTTCTGGTAGGTCAGTACTGAGCGCCGCACTGTCGGAGGGTCAGTGCTGAGGGAGCGCCGCACTGTTGGAGGGTCAGTGCTAAGGAAGTGCCGCGCTGTTGGAGGGTCAGTGCTGAGGGAGCGCCGCACTGTCGGAGGGTCAGTGCTGAGGGAGTGCCGCACTGTCGGAGGGTCAGTGCTGAGGGAGCACTGCACTGTTGGAGGGTC